GCTGCCGTAATTATTTTCGGCATTTAGGCATTTTGAAGAGGCTGCCGAAAATATAAAAAATGCCGTAATGCCGTAATTCCGTAAATTGTCCCGAATTTAGGCACACATGTATAACTCTAACCTAATCATGATAGGCTTCGATTGAGGCGTGGATAGATTTGGATCGAATAACAAGGGTCAATTAGAGCTCTAGATTATGTCACGAGTCTTAATATTAAATTACAGAATTTAGTCACTCATTCTTGTCGTAATATAGATTTTACACTTGACAGAGATTAGTGAAGTGAAGGATTGGAATCAAGATATTGAACTTAAGGGGAATTATGTTCTTTATTGAAGGTAAATTATATATGTATGAAAGGAAATTTCAATTTTTAAAATCTATCAATTTATTAAAATTTCTAAATTCATGAAATTCACAATTTTCCAAATTCTAAAATTTATGAAATTTGAAATTTCTGTCAACTCATCTTGTGGCGTGGTTTCGGGGATAGATTCGACTTTCACAACGTACGTACGTACTTATTGTTGTCCCTAATAGTTAATTGAAATTTCTGTGTCGCCGGCACATGGTTTTGGTCTTCCAGCCTCATTGCTGGTTATAAAAAAGAATCACTAGCACTAAACAATAGTGGAATCTTATAGAAGAATTTGACCCTCTTAAAAATATCATTAATAAATTTAATTCCTTTTATTATATATAATAAGAATATTTACTTAATCAAACATGTATAATGATTTAATAGCTACAATGGATAAAGAACTTTATTTATTATTTGAACAAAATTCCCAGCTTCAGGCGCGATGATTATCGTCTTACATAATCTTACGATTTTATATTCTATTATCTCGCTCAAAACGCCCCATTACATCCTTGAGTCAAATTACTCATCTATTCACAGTGAGATGGTTATGTATTTCAAGAAATAATGGTGCCTTGTGATCTATGAAAACCCACATTGTTAATATTGTTAACTCTTACACTTAATTCGCGTCAACTATATAATGCGTCGTAAGATCAACATGGTAATAGTCAGATTGATTAAAATTTTCATAATTAAGCAAGGAGTAATTAAATAGAGTAATATAGCATTCGATTGAAAAATCTTTATACTACTTATATATTGCTATTTTTATAGAATTCATCGAAAAAAGGTTTCACTTTGTAGTAGTCAGGACAATTGATTAAAAAATTTCATTAATCAGATCATAATTGTGCACCAACCAAAACATTATACAAATAATAAAAAAGTCTTATTTATTTAATAAGCTTCTTAATATTGTTGTATAGACAGAATCTATGGCTTAATATCTTTATACGCCTGTTATTATGAATCTTATAATGTAAAAAAAAAAGTTAGCCGCATGCATCGAGCCTATTAATGACAACATTAACGGTTTCTTGTGGTAAAAAGATGTCATATTATGTATGAATATGTAAAAAGCATTGCAATCATATATGTAGTTTGGTGATCTTTTTTTATCTAATCAAGAAAACATCGCTCGTAGATTATCAAATTTTCTGTAAGAATATTATGCTTATACCACAGATAATAAAAAAACGAGGCCTATGAAAAGAATCGAAAGCAAAACACTTCACTATTTACCAATAAATTTTTATTTAATTTCAATTAATAATCAAATTTCTTATATTCCATTTAGCACAAAAGCATTCATGCAAATACAGATGGATAAAAAATAGTTGATGATAATAATAAAACATCATAGCTTCCCATGTTATTCTATTTTTGAAGAAAACTCGTTATTCAAAGCTTAATACAGTATGCCCTTTTAGATCCAAACCACGGCAAAGGCTGCGATACAAATCGCAGCCTTAAGACTTCCATCCCAATAAGTAATAGATGCACCCGATGTTGGTGATGGAGTGTTTGACGGACTTCCTGACGGACCTCCTGAATGAGTTGATGTTGTAGTAGTGAAAGTCGTAGTTGGCTGAGTCGTAGTAGCGGTAGGGGGACCTGGTGATGTTGCTGTTGTTGAAGTTGATGTAGTTGGACTTTGTGTTGTTGTAGTACGGGTCGATTCTGTAGGGGTTCCTATTAAGTAGTTTTTTTTGTCAAGTATAATATTTATATTAAATCATATTTTCCATGTTTAACATTTTCTTTGGCTTTTTTTTTTTTTACCTCGAGTTGGTTCAACCGTGACTATAACGGTTGTAGTAACAGTTTCAGGCGATTTACCTTGTCCTTCGACCCAACCCCCATTTTCAGTGGCTATCATGAGGACGAATGCGATCATTAAGAAAATATAAAATAGTCGCTTCATGGTTGATTTTTTGCTGTGCGAACACTGTCGATCGTTATAAACTTCGATGAGATCAAAAAAAGATGTATAAAACGACAAAAAAATGAAACAAGTAAGAAAGTGACTTTATGTGTTGATTTAATCGACTCTACTTATGTGTCTTTTTATACTGTTATATCGGAATATTTTGTTGAACAGAATTACATATGAAAAAAAAAATAGATTCTATAACCTGATGAATGGAATGATGAATATGTAATGATGATGTTTGTCATAGTCTAAAGTCGGTAAACTGCATCATATAATTATGACGTTGGTTTAAAAGACGCTAATAAATTAAAATGATACAGTATTAGATTATTGAAATAAGCATGTCATGATTATTATCATCCAAAAAGTTGGCGCAATTTGTAAAAATAGATCTTATTGACGAAATTATGTTCTATCATATATAAAAATTTTTATACTATTAATGTAAATTAAAAGAAAAAAAAAAAAAGATAATAAAGAATAACGATAATAGTTTGATATAAAGAATTATCAAAAAACAAATGTAGTCTTGGCAGAAAAATATATTAACAATACCGATACTGTAACCATTTTAAATAGCTTTAAACTTATATAGATATTCATTATGAAAATAATGACAACTGAATTATCGTTTTTTGAATTACGCAATTACAGTACGTAGCACCATTGATTTGAGATGGTAGATTTTCTTGATTGCTATAACGATAAGTACTATCATAATATACAGTAAATATTAATGGAAACTTTTTTTTTCTCTTACAAGATTTCTATTGTATTTTCAGCACAGTCCTTCTAAGTCACGGTTTATATTTTATCGTTATGTTCTTTCGATCTAAATGGTCGGTCGGCTTGAGTTATGGTTAGCCAATGGATATAATGTTTAAAGCTGAACATAATCGTATAAAGGGATTGCATTGGATTTAGTATTAATAATATTTTAAGGTTTGGATTTTGTGTAGCATCAGAGTTTAATTATTCTCCAATTTGAATTTGGTTAACTCGATACGAATCATCTCTTACAACTAAAGATGTTGGTGAAATTAAACCAGAATGGTGAAAATAATTTCATCACTATTGGTGTTTGTGAAATTAATTTCACTAGCATCTTTACTCACAACTCTAATCTTATATAGATCAAACCGTGAATTTTTGACGAACGAAAGTTCATTTCAGAATGCAGATGACCTGGTCATTTAGAACACGTGGAAGATAGTGATTCTATTAAGATGTGATAATGATATTTAAAACTGCCATCTGTAAAAACAATTTCCGATTGTTTTATAACTGTATTAGATTTATAAACGTACAATGATGCTTTATATTTTTATGCAAGTTTTTTTCTCTTTTTAATACTGAGGGTTTAAAAAATTGATACCTCAGATAATAATATTCGATTAGAAATGTTTTTCTACTATTCTACAATGCTGTGTAAATAAATTGTCCAAATACAGAAATAAATAATCTAAAAACAAACTACTCGTATTCGCTTAGTTTCAATAATGTACGAGTCATGGTAAAACCTCTTATAAAGTCTTTCTAAAATTTTTTTGCTAAATGTGATCCTCAAGTTTTTCAAAATAACTTTCAAAATCGTCAAATATTGTCAAAGGATGTTTTTAGTATATGAGCCATTATAGGGTACTGATTTATCAACGTTAGTTTTTTTATGTTCAAACAACGCACACAAGTTATATCGAAGCGTACTACTTGAGTAATTGTTATTTTAAACCCACTCATCGTGCTTAAGATATACTACTTACCAGAGTGAATACCTCGGATAAAGTCACTTGGATAGCTACTACTTTCATGAAAATTACTGATACCAACGGTTTCTGGTTGCATAACATCCATCAAGCTTCATCTCCTGCTTATAGATGTGTGTCATTTTTTAGAAAAAAAGTATTTTCGGCAGTGATACATTCTTTATAGGAAACCTCTGGTATATGTTGAAAAGAATCCAAAATAATTACGGCAAATATGAAAATTAACTTCGGCATCTATGAAAGACCAATTTCGATTGACTAAGTGCCGTAGTAATTTTTTATAATGACAGGCAATTTTGGCCCATATGCAATACTTCTGCTCATGTACTATTTTTTGGTATTGAGGTCACTTATTGTATAATAGTTAGCACCAGTGTTGTCACGGACAATTCTGGACAAAAAAAAAAATCTAAATTAATCAAAATTTATTAAGATAACCTTTTAAGTAAAAATATTCAGAACTATAAAAAATATATAATCATGTTTTTTTTAAACTAATTTATTAAATTTTAAAACCTGAATATTCTTTGGACAAATTGTGGACACTGTGGACGTTTGGAGCAAAATATAATTTATTTACAAATAAGAAATATTTAAGTAATCAATATTCTAATAATAGTCGAAATAATTATTCTGAAGATAAACTTAATTATAATTGCAATTTCAAATCTTATTTATTTGATAATAATAAGGATGAAATTATTCCTGAAAATGAAATTGATCATTATTTAGATAAAACTTAAACACAAACTAATAGTAATATTGATCTATTTAAATGGTGAAAAGGGAATAAAAATAAGTTTCTAATTCTTTTTAAAATAGCTCAAAAATATTTAGGAATTCCTGCAACATCTATTTCTTGTAACGTTTGTTTAGTGATGCAAGTAAACAAATAACAAATGAAAGAAATAGGCTTAAGCCTAATACAGTTAATGAACTTCTTTTTGTTAAAAGAAATAGAGAATATTATAGTTTTTATAATTAAAGATTGTATTTGATTTTTTTATTAATAAAATTTATTTTTACTTTTTTGTGATTTATTATTGCTCAATCATAATTAACTACAATTAGAATTTTAGTCAACATAATTATTTTAGATTTTAGAGAAATCTATAACCACACAAAAGAAAAAAAAAGCAAAAATACTCAAACTAATGTTTAAATAGATTTTAATAAACTAATTAAAAATGTTGGAAACAAACCTTTGCATATAATGAGCAACAATCTATTATATTAATGCTCTAACTCTAAATTTTTATCTTTAGCATCTAGTTTATTTACAAAATTTATTTTCTTCTTTGGTTTGTATTACTCAAGCAAATAAGTAAAATTGTCTAGTAATGGTTAATTTGACAAAATTAGATATGTAGATAAAGTTG